TCGGATAAAACCATTAAGAATAAGGTGAATTACGTATTCATTGAATTATGTCTTACGGAATTATACTCAAGCTTTTTTGGGTCGAAGTAGACTTGATATTTATAATTCGAGTTTTGTGGCATTTAGGCAATTTAACTCAAAAACTGCCAGAAAATTAACCAGCTCTCGTGTAACAAGTAGGAAAATTGGATATTTGTATTTCTATTTCATGTCAAATGTCCTATTCGAAATGATCCTCAATCAAATAAATATATTATGTCAAATCGGGTATGTATTCAGAAAGAATAACAGAGTTTGAAAAAAAGAAGTACCAGGAAGTACATGACCACAGTAATCCTTTACAAATTTTTATGAGTGGCTACCAAGATGGATGATTCCATACTTTTTATTAGATGCATATTTTTAGCGAGAATCTCTTGGTCTATACTTCTAACGACTGTTTCATTCAGAATCACGTGGGCATTCCTCATGTTATTTTATTTCTTTCTCATTCACTTTCAGTGAAATAAATAATCGACAATCTTACAGTTATGGGATACTGAAAGATACTTTAATAAATCTGTAATATACTTACCTTTACGCAAATCGGTTTATGACTACTATAATTTCCAATCATCCTTAACCATTAATTCGAAATCATGGAAACATGCAGTGAATATTGCTAAATATTTATTTATATTTCGTTAACAGAAGACGTATAAATTAATGTCAATTTAATTTGGTGATAATTTTTCTGCGTACTGCGTCTCTTGCCCCAAATGACATAATACCATTGAGGAAAAATTAAATCCAACACATCATGTTTTCTTTTTTATCTCTTCGTGTTTCCTGAAATATACTATGAAATTAACAAAACACCATCGACGGTCACATATATGACTCAGTCGAAACATAATTTCTGATGGATTATTATTTCCTAATATCATTCTAGAATTCTTTCAAAATGACCTATCTCAGCTAAGTTTAGTCTTTTGATATGGTTTGATAAATCAATAATTTATTCACAACTATAAATATGCATAATACATTTCATAAATCAGATAATCAATATTAGTTGCAAAAAGGGGTTGAAAACAATTAAAATTGATCCTAGTTCAACCCCTGGAATTATATAAATTGAAAAAATAAAATATTTCCGCAATGTATATGTTACCAAGTTGGCTGTTGAAGATTGAAAATCAGTTAATACTTCATGTATATAGTTCAGTATTTCATGACGAGATTCTTGTGTGATTTTTTGAAAGTATCCGGTTTCAAAGATTTCATTTCATATGGCAGTTCATTAAATAATTTAAATACATTATAAGTGAATGATCGTTGGAAAAACTGTGTTTGATGAGGTGGGGGGGGGGGGGAGGGGGGAAATATAACTTGAATCTTAAATTCAACGTATGTAGATCAGTTCTGTATTTTATTTTATTACATAAATAAGGAGGGCATTTAGTGAATATAATATTATGGAATAAATTCACTGCATGGATTTTACGTCTTTCTTCCATGCTCAACCACTGGGTTTCCTTCAATTTGAAGGAGATACTTTCATATTTGCGAATGCCATAGATGAATCTTAGGCACGATTTTTGAACTTTCTGGATTCTTTCACTATCTTATCTATACACGGTCCATATACAGCATCGCAGTAATTAAAGTGGCTCAGCACCAGTGAATCTGTTGATTTTATTTTCAATGACTCTGACAACAAATGGCGATTAGGGTACAACATTTTCAAGCTACCATACGCTCGTTGGATACATTTATTAACGTGCGGCTTGAAACGTAAATCAGTATCAAATTCGAGACCAACATTTCTTGAATTTTTGGAGCACTGCAAAGAATTATCTTGAATTTTAACACTAAACACCGATTCTACCAACTGCTTTTGTCTACCGAATATTAATACTGATGACTTTGATGCATTCAATTGTAAATTATTGTTATCTGAAAATGCGATTAATCGATTTAAATCAGAGTTAATTGTATCTTGAGCTAGTTGTTTATCACTTGGGAAGAAAGACAAATAATATAATTGTGTGTCGTCTGCATATAAATGAACAGAACAATGCATCAGATCAGGCACGTTGTTAAATTACATGTGTATATACCAAACGAAAGAGGGCCAAGTATTGAACCTTGAGGAACTCCGCATACTGAAAGTTGTTTCGTTGAAATCATATTTAAAATATCTAACTGAAAACAGCATTCCAAGCTTCTGCATGCTTTCTTCAGGAGAACCAGAGACTACGGAACTAACTTTCGAAAAATATTCGTGCTTTCATCAACCTATTCAGATATCGACATTGATCAGTGATAATGAGAGTGAAGTATCTAATTTTTTTGGAGCAGTTCATTTCAGATCCGCTCCTCTATGCAATTGATGTTAACAAATTGGTTCTCCTGCAGTGAGGCCTTGGATTGCATTGACTGAAACATGTAGTCTCCTTGTTAAAACATTTTGCAAATCTTCGCTGTTACATTATCGTGATAATTATTATAAGCTCTGTCTGGATTTCGTATTCATAGGTGTGTTAGACTTTCATCAATTGAGCGTTGAGCAAGTGAGCAGATGGAATTTTCAATTTTTTCCTTCCCATTCAGTTGGGATCGTGCATCTTCTTATGAATTCGCTTTTTCTTCATCGAGTTCCAGTTCCAGTCTATTGATGAATATTTTATTTATGAAAATATATTAAATATAGTTACAAATAACTATTTACATACAAATTAAAATATCAATTATTTTCTTTCGTAGTCCATACTTTTGTATCTTTTGCACAACAAATCTCTTGGTATTTGATTTATAATGTTCCCTGAGGATATTTCCTTGTTTCTATTGCAATAGTTTGAATTTATTATATCTGCTTGTGCATTATTTATAAATATATTCAATCTGAAGGCTGAAGTTTTGAAGCGGACGTGTTTGTTGTTGGAGTTAACTCTGATATTATACGCTGGATATTATGCATGACAGTTCCACTTTTTCGAATTCTACTGAAATAGTTGAAATCTAGAAGTACAAGCAGCTTTGTGCAGAAGGGACTTTATCGATCTTGTTACAGATGTGATGAAAATGTGTGAGAATGGTTCCTCATCAAATCAATATTTGTCGAAGGCCAACTGGCGAAATAGTAAATATATCTGAGTGAAAAGTACTGTATCAAAATCTTCAAATGTATTTGTTGATTTTTTTGAAGTGAATATTGAAACTCGAGACGATTATCGAATCTTTTTGGGTCGATGATATGAGGAAACAAGATTTTCCAATGTTTGGTATGTCTATTAAAAAGATTGCAATATTTATTCTCCTGATATAATAGAGTAGGTAGATAGTAGAAGAAGCATGCGATGCCGAGAAGAAAGTTTATTAATATCTTCATAGATTGTGATAAGATTATGTAGGTATTTTGTTGTGTCTATTTCAGTGAGTGTTGTTGTCACTGTTTTTGAATAATTATAATGGAGTTGTATCGAAGATACGAGGAAATAGAATTATCCAATGATTGGTTTATCTATTAAAGAGATGGCAATGTTTATTCTTCTGATATAACAGACTAGGTAGATAGTGAAAGAAGCATGCAATGTCGAAAAGGAAGTTTATTAATCTCTTCATAGATTGTGATAAGATTGTGTACTAGGTATTTTGTAGTGTCTATTTTAGTGAGTGTTGTTGTCGCTTTTCTTCGAAACATCATGATGGAGTTGCAAAAATTAAGAGTAACAATAATGCAATATCAATCTGATTGAATGATTGCATAGTGTCTTCAATTGAATTGTGATGGAAATGTAGATATCTTGGAATGATGTTTGTTTCTCTCTCGTGATCGTTAGTAAAAATCTCCAACCTTCCGGACCAGGCTGTGCGTTTACATAGACGTTTTTGAGAAGATATGAGGAAACAAAATTATCCAATGTTTGGTCATCTATTGAAAAGATGGCAATGTTTATTCTTCTGATATAAAACACTAGTTGGATAGTGAATGAAGCAATCATTGTCGAAAAGCAAGTTTATTGATCTCTTTATAGATTGTGATGAGATTTTTTAGATGTTTTGTAGTTAATTTTTTAGTGACTGTTGTTGTGGTTGTGGTTGTTTTCTGAATAATCATAATGGAGTAGAAAAAAATTGAGAGTGACAGTAATATAATATCAATCTGATTGCATAGTCTCGATATATAAAAATCGTTAGTATTGGTCTCTTTCTCGTAATCGTTAGTAAGAACCTCCAACCTTCCGGGAGGATGTGTGTGTACATAGACGTTTTTGGGATGATATGAGGAATCAAAATTATCCAATATTTGGTCTATCTATTGAAAAGATGTCAATGTTTATTCTTCCGATATAAAACACTAGTTGGATAGTAAATGAAGCAATCAATATCGAAAAGCAAGTTTATTTATCTCTTCATAGGTTGTGAATGATTGTTTACTAGGTATTTTGAGTGTTGTCGCTTTTCTTCGAAAAATCATGATGGAGTTGCAAAAATTAAGAGTAACAATAATGCAATATCACTCTGATTGCATGATTGAATAGTATCTTCAATTGAATTGTGATGGAAATGTTTAGATATCTTGGAATGGTGTTTGTGGAGATCTATGCTTTCTCGTAATCGTTAGTAAAAATCTCCAACCTTCCGGACCAGACTGTGTGTGAACATAGACACTGTTTGTTCGGTCTATCTAATGAAAAGATGGGAATCAATATTCTTGTGATATAAAAACACTAGTTGGATAGTAAATGAAAAATGCAATGCCGAGAAGCAAGTTGATTTATCTCTTTATAGATTGTGATGAGATTTCTTGATAATCATAGTCATAGAGTCGACAAAATTGAGAGTGACAGTAATACAATATCAATATGATTGCATAATCTCGATATCTTAGAATCACATCGAATGACTCGTGTTGGATGGTAGTCTGTTGACAATTGTTAGTATCGGTCTCTGTCTCGTAATCGTTAGTAAGAACCCCCCAACCTTCCGGCACCAGTGAGTGTGTGTGTACATACATTTGTTCCTAAGGCCGAGGCTATAACCTGGCGTATTGTTGTTGTCATCAGCTGCGTTCTCCCTAACAGCCTGAACCTCCTGCAGCCGATCAAACCCCAATCGACGAAAACCACAGTTCGAGGCACGAAACTTTGGCCCTGTACGCATCTCGCATCGCCCTCTACAAGAAAAGCTACTACCCAGCTAGGCCGCATGCAACTACACACACACATACACACAACTAGGACATCGAACTATATGAGTGGGACAGTCACCTGGGGAACCCCCTGCCGGTGATTTGGCTTCTGGTTCGCCAGCCTCGCTGCCACTAGGAGAATCCACCGCGAAAAATGCAAGAAAAATCATCAGGGGAAAAATGCACGCGTGACTAAGTGCCCGGCCATCAGTTGAAATATCCTCACACGTGTGTTTATCCTCTCTCGCGCGTATTGTCGTGTGGGGTATACTACCTCTTTGGCGGTCGCGGGCACTGTGCTTCCTCGAGTGTCTCGCACCGTTCATTATAAAACGGTGTTCTCTGTGTCCGGGTGACGTCACGGCCGCAGTGACGTCACCGTATAGCCGTATCTCTCTTTTCGTCCGTTATCTGTTGTCGGTGGTTCGGTGGAGAGTGTTTTTGCGGGGGTGGCGGAGGGATACGTCACGGTTGTGACGTATCAGATGGTGACGTCACGGATGCGGAAGGTACGGCGCGGTGGATCGATGGTGGTGGTGGTTTTTTTCGGTTTTCTTTTGTTTTGGGGGTTTTGTTGCACGCTAGAGCTTTCACTGGGTCGAATTTTGGATTGCTGGTTCTGTAGGTCTGAAGTTTGTTACAATATAGCGTACACTACACTGTTTTACCACTAACCAACCCGATTTTTTGAACGCCTCAACACGTGTTTTGCTAACTATGTTAGCATCTTCAGGAGAAGATTAGAACTCAGTCAGTTTTAATCTTCTCCTGAAGATACTAACATAGTTAGCGAAACACGTGTCGAGGCGTTGAAAAAATCGGTTTGGTTAGTGGTAAAACATTGTAGTCTATCAGTGTGCCAATGGTTCCAGTCTTCGAAATAACAATATAACGTATTTCTTCAATAATCAGCCAATGAATCGAAGTATACTTCCCCAGTTAACCACACATCACATGTCTCAGCTCTATCACAAGATAGATCAGGCAAAGAACTCTGTTTCATCACACCGTTCTGAAACATATACCTACAACTTGGATCTAAAATATAACATATTCCTTCTACAATCTACAAATCAGTGTTTCATCACACGTTCTATCAATGTGATAAAATTGAGGCATCTTAGGCGTCATCACAAAGGAGATCAATAAAATAAATGTGTTTCCATCACATGTCCTATCAACGTGATAAGATTGAGGCATCCCAAGCGTCATCATGAAGGAGATCAATTAAAGAAACTTTGTTTCATCACACGTTCTATCAACGTGATAAAATTGAGGCATCCCAGGCGTCATCATGAAGGAGATCAATTAAAGAACTTTGTTTCATCACACGTTTTATCAACGTGATAAAATTGAGGTATCGTCGTTGTCATCACAATCTAGATCAAAGAACTTGTGGTATCACAATTTACAACGTTCTGAAAATGAACTGATGCATAAATGCTAAAATATACTGCATGCTTGAATTATATTATAGGTATTGATTATCAAAATTAAATTGCGATCTAGCAAGAATTTGAGTACGTGAAATTCAAAGTTGTGGTTTAACCACCATGAAGACGAACAATGTCATAAGTTCACAGAACATGTATTGTGTTTACATTATTCCAAATTTTATGGGATTTTCTCTCCTCGTTTCTATAAAATAAAAATATGAATATTATTTCAATATACGTGTAGATAGTAAGGACAAATCAGATGATTTGCCCCAAAATGTCTCTGCGTTTAAAGAATTTTCCTATCAGAGAGCCTAAAAGAAAAATTCACTAGCTTGTCAGTGACAAATGTTCTGACGTTCTTGGGATTCGTATCGCATGAAATAGATTTTAAACAGATCTATTAAAATCTATTCGACCAGGTATTTACTGATGGAATAGTGATGAATAAATATTATTATTATTATTATTATTATTATTATTATTATTATTATTATTATTAATAAAAATAGAACTGGCAACCCTGGTCCGCGCGGAGAGTGAGTTGACTTGACAACAACTGTCATTTGCTGTTGTCAAATTAATTATTCACGAAATCAATGTAATGCAATATTCTTTCAATTTAAAAAAAAATCGCCCCCTCCTGATTTTTTTTCTGACGGCGCCCATGCAGTGATAGTTTTCCTGTGCATGGGTATTCTGATTCTTCTAGTTCTGAAATTCAGTCCAACACAAATTCAAGATAGCATCACTTTCTGACTAAGGTGCAATACAATACGAAAATAATCACCATGATGCATCGTGAACATCATTATTTCCATCTCGCATTTGTTTCCTATACAAGAAATATTTCAATTATTGCATTTGTTGTTGTGTGTACACGTAATTTATTTCTTCGGATAAACTTATAACTCTCCCAACACGATATGTCATGATCTGCATTCAAGATACTATTTTAAGAATGTAAGTTCAGAGGTTAGAACTATTTTGTGTGAAAGAACGGCGATTGTGCAGGTATTCTAACCGTTCGATCCACGATTAGTTTCTGCTCACAACGAACGCTGTACGACTACATATACAGGGTGACGGTTCAAAAACTACCGGATATATTAAAGAAACAATAACAATGCGTGGAATTTTTCCTATAGACTTCATACAATGTCAAACCTTGATTGAGGTGAATCAATTAGGAACCCTAATATACATACGTAAATAAGAAGGCATATTACAATATATTTACACATATACAGAGATGAAAACTGAGTTGAACAATACATATGGAATACACAATAAAGACCTTACTTTGTCAATGAGAATCATAGTAAAATAGTAGTCTATTTTCCACTGAAAACCAACTTAGAGTCATTAACATTGATCTTATAGGGTTGAAGCGATTTGTTTTCAGTATTATTCTCATTTCACGGTTTTGGAGCTTCTGGAGCATATTCAATTTATTCAAATTTAACAGATATACAATGGATGAGCAATAATCAGACAGTATTTAATCAAAATGTGGCTGAATGATTGAATTATACGTAGTGATTTTGGTCTGCGTTGACAAATGTTGAGATATCCGAGAGATACAATAAGTTTTTTCGAAATCTTTTTAAAAGTGTACTCAAAATGACTATTGAAGTTCAAAACATCATCTAACATGAATCCCAGGTACTCAACATTTGAGACAACTTGAAGGCTTTCATTATTGATGTTCAAACGAATATTATCAATATCAAGCCTATCATACTTATATTTTGTTGTGAAGACCATTAGATTCCGATAATGGCTCATCGCTATCAAGACAGTGTTCATTTTTTCAACAGCTCTTTCAATGTTGACATCACTACATGCATTTAAGGTGTCATCAGCAAACATGTTAATGAGTTCACATTCTACAAAAATATCAAGATCATTCAAATACAAAACGAAAAGTAGGGGGCCTAAAACACTTCCTTGTGGAATACCTACATCATTGGCCACATCAGAAGATATTTGGTCTTTGAAACGTACCCGCTGCTTACGGTTTGTAAGATAATCATTCAGCCACTCCTGTACAGTACCACTTATATTACATCGTTCAAGTTTGGATAACAATAATTTCCTGACGATTGTCTCGAATGGTCTCTTCAGGTCAAGAAAAATCGAAACAACATATTCATCGTTATATCATTGGGTTTTAATATCGCAAATTGTAAGTTGCAGTGCTGACAAGAGAACTTTTCGAAATATGATGCAGCAATTGCTCATAAACTGCTATTCCTAGGAGTTTCTCAATTGGTGGTAAAGTATTAATTGGGCGGAATTCTTCTGCTTTAGTGGTATGTGCAATTTTTTGAATGGGTATAATGGTACTGATTTTTAGACTTTGTGGAATTTTATCTGTAGTTAAGGACGCAAATTACATGGCCAATGGTTTCAAACACTTCCTTCAACATTTTGCAATTCAATGTATCGTACAGAGAAAACTAATTGGTCAATCTACCAACTATTTTACGTAAATTCTGCATAGTGAGTAACTCGAATTTGTTAAATTCCCAAACTTCAGTATTATCTATGCTATGGACAATTTCTTGACTACTACCAATAAAATAATCATTGAAACTGTGCGCTATTTTTTACTATTCTTTCCAAGGTTTTCCACATTTCTCTGGGATTATTTTTGAACCTGTCTATCTTTTCAGTATAGTACTGTTCTTTTTCTGCTTAAGGCTATTTACTACATCATTTCAAATTTTCTTGACATTTTGCGATTTTGCAACTTCCTTGAATATTTATAACGTAAGCTAGGTTATGTGACACTCTTTTCAGAAGGTATCTCTCGGTTACATACATATTACTCATTCGTATTTAAAGTTCACGTTGGTTAGAAGAAATAACTAGGTATAGGCCTACTCGCAGGCCGGATTTCAATCCAATTGGTCATTAGTAAGATATCCTTAAAGCGTCATTGTGGAGCTGTGAGAAGATTGTGAGATATATACAGAATATACACGTTACTGATTATGTTCACTACAATTGCCTTCAGTACTAATGAAAATGAATTTAAAAGATGGAAAATTGGAGAACAATTGGAGAAGTCCTTATTGGTACCAAACACGTACGGTCGAATGCTTTGAATACATGTATATGACGCGCCACAGCTAGGGGTTCCCCATATTCTTCTTGGGTGACAGGCAATTTAAGCTCTAGTCAATCTGTTGGCGAAAGCCATATTATCTATCATTAATGATTCCTGAGCTTTCCAGATATTTGATGAACTCTTTGTTGGATTCAGGGAGAAATGATTTCGAATACATTTTTCTATAATATTCGTTGTTTAGTGTGGATCTCATCATGTGCAATCATTATGCCATAATGGATAAAATGTAAGGCGAAAGCGGGTAAAAAATCGTAACACCAAAGAATCCGATCCAGCCTCCAAAGCAAAGAGCCACACGAATAATAGAAGTTACTCAACACCACAAAGCGCAAAGTAATTTCTAGTTCGATCCCTGTAGTCGAACGAGTATTAAATCAGGTTCTCGGGGCGTATTTTAATTGAAGTCGTGATGGAGAAAGTGTTGTCTCTCGCTT